GTCAGGCGATTCGGCATCCGAAGCTTGCGGTGTTGCTGGTGTCCGCATTTTGCTAAGTGCCAAGGCTGAGCGCTCGCTTATTAGTGGATTCTAGTCAGTAGTCGACTGTGCGCTGTACGTCTCAACGGTTTTGCATTGGTCAGCAGCCACGGAATGAAGGGTCGATGCTTATTCGTCGTATCGGTGTATGCACTGATGGATTGCAATACACCTAAATCACGGATGAATTCTACAAGGACTTCTCCACAGTGTTCGAGCAACGGACATCGTAGTAGTCGCCGGGGACTTCAGTGCTCAACTGGAATACCGGGCGCAACAGAAAGACTTCTTGGCGAACTATATGCAATCCCAGCCAACCGGATGAACAACTGAAGTCGTCTACTTCAACTCTGCGCGGACCACGGATTGATCCTGTCAAGCACCAACTTCTCGCACAAGAAACGACACCGCCGACCTCTTCACAGCGCTCTTACTGATCAACACCTGTGATTGTTACAAATCGGCCTTCGAAGCGGAGTTCTCCGATCGCCTGTCAGTTCAACCGCCAGCCGAAGGACTCAATGAACACTGGAATCAAATCAAGGAAGCTATGCAGATATCAATAAAAATAACGTCAAACCCTGGCGTCGGCTCAAAACACAAACGATGGATCTCGTCGACCTCGACTGCCCTGCTGAAAGCCGGCAGAATCCTTCATTCTGATGCCATGTATGTTACAGCGCGAAAATCCCTCAAACGACAGCTCATCAAGAGTCTGAGGAATGTCCGCGAGAAGTGGTATGTAGGGAGAAAGAGAGAGATGGAAAAAGCTGCGGCTATTGGTATTAGTCGCAATCTTTTTCGTCTTATTAAGAATACGGGCCCCATTAAAATAGGTGTAAGTCAGATTATTAAGTAATCCGATGGCTCACTGATTCACTATCAGCAACACCGTCTTGATTGATGGGTTGAACATTTCGAGGCCTAGTTTAGCTGGTCTCTGTCGATATCTGACCTATCACCCCACACCTCGACTGGGAAAATACTCCCAGTTAATGCCAGTCCTCCATCTGAAAGGGAGGTTTCCCGGGAAATATGTTATGTCCAAAAGGCATAGGGCCCCCGGCCCAGATGGGCTGTTCCCTTCGGTTTTTAACGATGAAAGTTAGCCTTATTTTCAGAGTTAACGAAACTCCTGTGCTCAGTGTGGGAGAGGGAACAGGTTCCAGCTGAATGGTGTGAGTCGGTAATCATACAAGAAAGGTGACAGATCCTCTTGAGAAAACCACAGAGAACTTAGTTTAGTCAACATCATCTCTAACTTTCTCGCTGGCGTCATACTTCGTCGAGTGTCTGCCGCACGGGAAGAGTGAACGCGTGAAAACCAGGCTGGTTTTAGGCCTGGTCAAGGTTGTATCAACCACAGCTTCACTCTTCCAAATTCTGGAGCATTAACATGCTTTTCGTAGATCCACCATCTGTCTTCCTCGATCTGAAAGCGGCTTTCGACTCAGTCGACCGCTCTAAACTCTGTCGCTGCCTTTCTCTGAAGGATGTGCCCGAGAAGTTAATTTCAATATTACGATCGCTTTATACTAATAGCCGAAGTCGAGTCCGGGCTTACGGCACTTTTTCGCCCGAGTTCACTACGGAAAGTGGTGTTCGTCAGGGTTGCCCTCTATCTCCTTTTCTATTTAACTTTGTTATAGATTTGATAATGGAAACAGCCCTATCCTCGTGCGAGGATAGTGGCATTGATTTGCCCCCAGATGGCAGACTGTCTGATCTGGAGTATGCAGACGACATTATGCTGCTAGGTGAAGATTCAGGTAGGCTGCAAGCTTTTCTGGATAGTTTGAATGCCAGTGTAGACATATTCGGTATGCGTTTCACACCTTCAAGATGTTTGTCCAGCACCCAGCCTCACTCTAACTGGGGAAATAATGGATCGAATGGATGCTTCGTTATTTGGGCAGCTAAATCTCACTCGGTGGACGCATCACAAATTAATTGTCAGCTCGCAAACAGAAGGCCCAATTTGCATTTGCCAACTTGAGACATCTATGGCGCCGTCGCGGTATCAGGCTGTCTGTGAAGGGTCCAGTGTATGCCGCGGCAGTGTGGCCAATTCTGCCATACGGCGCAACACCTTTGCCTTTACGAAAACAGGATGAAGATAGACTGTCGGTGTTCGAACACCGCTCTGTACGTCGTATTGGACGAATTCGATGGGTCAGCCGGACGAGCACTGCTGAAGTTAATCGCAGAGTTTTGGGTAATCGCGGTCACCCAATGGAGCAGGTGACTGACTTCCGTAGATTACGTTTGTTGGGGCATGTCACCAAACAGGTTACCATGGCGAGTGATGTTCGCTGACGCAGTTAGTGGGTGGGGAAAAGCCAACAGTGGTCAAGCTAAGACCTGGCAAGAAGGTATGAAAACCCTAGTCAGCAAACTCGGTCACGTAGGTCTCGTTAGGCTTTGTGGATGGGGACCTCAGGATGATCGTAACCGATGGTTAGAGACACTGAGTGATCTGGCTGAGTTTCGTAAATAGTGGCGTTCGTGCATATCAAGTTCCTCGCAACATAAGTCCACTGAAATTCTCCATTTTTATTTCACTATACCTTCGACTTTCCTGTCCTTCTGCTGTTCATCCAAATGAGCAGCCAAAAGACAGCAACCAAGACCAACGCACGAAAGTGCATGGTTAATGGTTGTTCAAACTGAAACTGAAGCTGCGTGAGTACACTTTCGTGCACCGGTTTTGGTTGCCACTCATTTTGGATAAAAGGATAGAGGGAAGAAGAGAATGTGGCAAGTACAATCAAAGAGGAGATAGAAAGTTCACATGGACTAGGATTGCAAAGATAATGGGAAGATGCACGAGCGCCACTGTTTGCAACACTCAGTATCTCGAACCACCTGTTACGATGATCCCGGGGTCCTCAACCAGAAAACCTAACGGGGCCTATGTGACCCAGTTTCCTGGTCAGGGTTTTCATACCCTCATGTCAGGTTTGCTTTTGGATCGTGAGTTTTTTCTCCATATCTTTTGCATTTTATCTCACTAAGTCATACTTTATTATAGATGAAAAAGCTTACAGATATTACTCAAAGCACCAACCTGCTCCTTTTCCACAACGTGCTGAGTCAAACAGCGCTTGAAATCTGCTGTTTAAACTTCACGATTTCTCACAATGCCTGGTGTACAAATCCAACTCGTTGTTATACTTGTTGGATGCATATATCGGGACGACAAAATCCTCTACTGCTTCAGAGATATCTACTCGATATGTCTCGACACTATGAGGCGTGATTGGTGAGAGATTTTCGCCGAACCCGTTTTGTTTTTCCATTTGGTATTT